CCAGACCTGGCAGTGTGCTTTCTCATTTTCCCTTTCTCTCTCTCTGTCCCTCACTGGTCTAAATGAAGTTAAATAAAATAATTCTTTTTTTTTTTTTTAAAGTGGTTAGGATAGTAACTTTAATATTATGATTTTACCAAAATTAAAAATAAATAAAGGGTCCACAGGTGGCAGAGTGGATGAGGCGCTGTACTCCCACATGGCCAACCACAGCTTAAGTCTCAGACCTGGCAGCTTGCTTTCTCACTTTCCCACTCTCTCTGTCCCTCTCTGGTCAAAATAAAATAAATAAATAAATTTTAAATAAAATAATTCTTTTAAAAACTAATCAAAAAAAAAAAAATCAGTGGGCGTGTGTGTACAGTTTTGCAAGATAAAAAGACTTCTAGAGATGGATTGTGGTAATGTTTGCCCAGTGTGAATGTACTTAACGTTACAGAACAGCAGGCTTTAAAGTGGTTAAGACAGGACCTGGTGGCTTAAACTCACTCTGGGCACATGTGCATGCGTGCCCAAGATCCCCAGAGGAGAAAGGAGGAGAAGGGATTGCGACGTGGCCATCCCCCCTGGGGGGTGATTTCTTGCTTTCTGTCTCTCTCTCTCTCTTTCTTTCTCTCTCTCTTTCTGGTGAGTGCATACACCCTATAGCAAAAAAAAAAAACAAACAAACAAACAAAAAAAAACTAATAATACTAATAAATAAACTTATTCTTCAATAATAAGAATTTCAACCTGCCTCCCTCCCCTCAAAAATCAGATTTTACATAATAGTCTAGGCCCAGCCTGGTGGCAGAATCACTAGCAAATAGCTGCAGTGCTGAAAGGTACATGGCCAACTGTGGATTCGAATCCCTGAGTCTGCCTAAAAAAATACACCAGGTATGCCCAAGATCCTGGGCTGGGTAAAGGAGATCATGGCATGATGCTCTCCTGTCAAAGGTAGTTTCTGGGCTAGGTAAATAATTCCCTCTCCCTCCCCATCCATTCTTTCTCATGCACACATACATGTTCTCTATCATGAATAAAATAAAGGCTGCTCTCTTAAAATCTAGAGGGCAGCTGATGGTGTCATGGTTAAGGTGGCTGGATCCCACATGGCCAACTGTACAGGGTTCAAATCCTGGACCCAGCATCTTAGAAAAATATGCCAGGTGCCACGTGTGTGCCCCCAAATCCCAAGAAAGAAGAAGAGAAGGGATTGCAGTATGGTCATCCCTCCTACTGGGTGCCTTCCTACTCTTTCTTTCTATGTCTTTCCAGGAGCACATGTGCCCCAGAGCAAATTTTGAAAAGAAAGAAAAAGCTGTGACTACTTTGAATAAATAAATCTAGATATGCGGCCTATTTTGTTTTGTTTTGTTTTTCCCATGTGCTCACCAGAAAGATAGAGAGAGAGACAGAAAGCGAGAAATCACCCCCTCCTTGGGGGATGGCCACGCCACAATCCCTTCTCCTCCGTTCTTCTCATGGATCTTGGGCACGCACACACACACACCCAGTGTGAGTTTAAGCCACCGGGTCCAGGACTCGAACCGCGGTTGATTACATGGGAGTCGAGCAATAGCCATTATGCCATCTGCTGGTCCCCAATATGCAGCCTCTCTTGAATGAGGCACTCACTCATGGCACGGATGAGCTGGGCAGAGTGCTTCTCCAGCCGAGCCTGCCATGTGCCCTCCAGGTGCTCCCACAGGTGCCTGTTTGTTGTTCAGCCTGTATCATTATCTGCCCTTCTCAAGGAGACAAGCGGTGATGAGCAAACTGAAATATAAGGAGACATGGCCAGTCCTCCCTGAAAACTCTTAAGTGACAACCACCATGAATCTTCAGATGACGCCTTGCATAGCACCGGCCTCTTGGCAAGAGTGCAGGATGGAATTACACCAGTCGCAAGAGGCCTGGTAGGCCCACTGTCCTCCCCCTGGACTCAACTCCTAGCACCCAACACCAAGCCAGGATTTCCAAATCTGTCTCCGCTTTTAGGATCTGTTTGCTACTCCCAACTAGAGATCCCTCCCCGGAGTGGGAGTGGGGCATACACAACAGCTTCTACAGCATTCCTACCCAGGCTGCTACATTCTCACCCAGGCTGCTCTCAGCAAAGTCTGCCCAGCCAGCATGCCCAGAGAAGGATCAGAAAGTAGGGGGAAGTCCCTAATTTCCAGGGGCTTGAGGCACAGCAGCAATTCTGGAAGAATTTCATATTTTCCTTGGTGTCCTTCGCTTTTTCCTGTTTCTCACATCCATATCAAGATCATCAAAAAACCCTACTGGCTCTTCCTTCAGAATACATACAAAATCCAACGACACCTCACCACTCCTAGTACCACCACCCAGGCCTGAGCCACCTGCCTGCCTGCCTGCCTCCCTTCCTTCTCTTTTAGCTCTTTTGACCATACGTTGCACTCTTCAGCTGTCTTATCTACTGTATATCCCTTCCCACATTAGAATTTAAGCTCTAGGGGTTGATGGGGGCCCAACAGTAAAAAAAAAAAAAAAAAAAGCAAGGCCGACCCATGTGGGAAGTTCCAGGTTCAAGTCCATAGACCTCCCTCATTACCCCAGGGATATGTGTGTTCACAGTCAGGCTAGCTGAGGTTGGGGATGGATCAAGATCTTGTTAGAGGGACCAGCAGTTAGCATAATGGCTTTGTCACTGGACTCCCGAATAGTCGACTGCGGTTCACGTCCTGTACCCGGTGGCTTAAAACTCATGCTGGGTGCTTGTGCGTGCGTGCCCAAGATCCCGAGAGGAGAATGGAGAAGGGATTGCAGCGTGGCCATCCCCCCTGGGGGGTGATTTCTCACTTTCTGTTTCTCTGTCTGTCTCTGTCTGTCTGGCGAGCACATACTCCCTATAGCGAAAACCTCTCCAAAAAAAAAAAAAAACTTGTTAGATGTGCTCTTTTTTCCTCTGGCTCATGAAATAAAAATAAAGTTTTAAAAAAAGAAGCCCAGGGAGGCGATGTGATAAAGGCAGCTGGATCCCACATGGCCAACTGCATGATTTGAGTCCTGGACCCGACAACTTGAAAAACATACTGGGCGTGAATCCTAACAGACAAATGGAGAAGGGACTGTGGTGGGACCATTCCCTTAGGACAAGATTTTCTTTCGCTTTCTCTCTGGTGAGTGCATGCGCTCTATAGCAAATTTAAAAAGAAAGGATTTAAACTCTTTAAAGGCAGTTAAGGAATTTTAAAACTCCTTAAGATCTCTGCGGATCTTATTCCCAGCTCCATCCCCAGCATCTTGCATGGTGTCTGGCACATACTCAGAGCACAATATTTGTTAAAAGCATAAATAAAGGTCAAGATGAGGTCAGCTGTCTGTGGTCAAGGCTACTCTGCCCTCCTCTCCTGTCTCAATGGATGTGCTCCTCCTCCCCTCCCACCCTCCTGGGGTGCATTGCCACACATAGGCAGACTGTGCCAGATGCACATGGGTGGCATCTCTGCCAGGCAATGCCCTAGAGAAGCTCTCAACCCGAAGCACGTTGCTGTTTGCAGTCTGCTGGTGATTTTCACATGTATTTACGGAGTACAAACCCTAGAGAAGGCCGCAGACCCTGGCTTCCAGAGCCGCCTTCAGTACCTCACACCATAAATGGAATTGGCCCAAGAGGCAGCAGTCTTACACAGAAGATTTGGGGGCAGGCCCCAGGCTTTCCAGAGAGGTGGTTCTTCAATACCTACTGGGCCTAAACACAGCCAGAACAGCCCTGGCGAGGGGACCACTGGGGTCTTATCTGAGGCACCCAGTTGAAACAAGGCTTACCGGAGAACAGATAAGAATTCTACTGGTGAATCTGCAAAACTTTGCGTAATTATTATTTGTCCTAGAAGCTAAGAGTGCAGGTAAGCCACCACCAGGATCTGAGAAGTTAAAGAGCAAGGCGAGAACACCAGTCAGCTTCTGGACAGGAGTAAAGGAAGGCTAGATAAAGAATTCTCCCAGGGAGGAGGTCACAGAGCCTGCCCTCTGTTCCCCAGGCTCTAACCTAGAACCACCACTGGCAGTCGCTGGAGGCCTGTGCAACTGCCAAGCTAGAAAGCGACACCTGTGGGAATTGTAGGCAGGAAATACACAGGACTGTTTTAGCCTAAAAAACATTCTTTCCTTGTCATCAAGGGAATGCCAAGTATCCAGTCTTCAGCAGTGTTGCCAGGTAACAAGCTGGCGGAGGTCACAACTGTATGTCCAAATAGCAGGCATTTCCCCATTAATAACCAGCCCACTTGGGGCAGCTAACTGCTTTTTTTAATATATCCACATCCGAGCCCCAGAAGTGACTGCTTTCTTGTTTGTATGGTTTTGTTTTTATTTACTTTGGTGTTTTTGTTTGTTTTTATTTTTTTTCTTTACCATCAATGGAGAAAAAGAACTGGAGAATGAATCTTAACTTCCACTAGATTTTGCAGAAGGTGGTGCTGTCTGAGAATCTTTGAGGCCTGGAGACCTGTGGAACTTTGGAGTGGCAGGTTGACACCTTAAGGGACATCTGTGAGAAGTACAAAAGCAGAATTGCCCCTTTCTCCTTGGCAGGGGAAGTGAGGCTGAGGCCCAAGCCCTTCCCTTGTTTCCCTACCCTCCTGGGTTGGTCAGCTGCTCCTACACTCAGTTAAAAATTATCCACTCTGGCCAGCCAGGCCGGTGGGGCCCACCCCCTCTTTCTCACCCTCCTGCTCACCCCAAGGGGCTCTGGGCCAGGTCAGAATAGCAGTTTCCGTAGCAACAGGCATCAGGGCCAAGAGACCTACATTGTTCCCTGCCTTTTGTAGCAGGGGTTGGGTAGCCAGGGTGAGGGCCCTCTGGTGCCCACGTGACAAGCGGGGCAGCCCATGTAATGAAGACTCAGGCTAAGTCCCGCTTAGTACAACTTCTCTCCTAAGCAGGCGGCTAAAGATGTCCCAGAAGCTGTGTGAACCATTCCGGAAAGTGACATTTTGCGCGGGCTGCCAGTTTTCCACGGTGGGTGAGCCAGGCAGGTTGCAGGCTGACCGGCAAGAAAACGCAGGTCAAGCCAAGGAGAGGCCGCAAGATGGGGCTTCAAGTGCGGCGACGTAGGCGAAGGGGGGACGGCCAAACAAAGAGGAAAATTAAGAGGACACTCCTCCAGCTGTCGCGCAAAAGGCTCCCAAAATAGCTGACGTGGGTCTGAGAGCAAGGCGGGATTAGAGAGCGCGCGAGGCAGAAAAGGAAGGGGAAGTGGGTGCCTCCCCCTCCCCGCCTTTGTCTGAGCTGGGCCACGCTGCGACCCTCCCTCTCCCTAGGACAGTGAACTCCAACTCTCCACAGTGGCTCCTCTCCCTGTAGGGGTGCAGAGCGAGCAGAACACTCTTCGGATCCCGGCCCCCGCCCCCAGAACCCTCCTGGAATACCTAGGGCCACAGGCTGCCCAAGCCCCCCGCTTGCGCAGGGCCGGCAGTCGCCCGGGCCACCAGTTGCCACCGTCCTTCAAGTCCCCACCCCGCGCCTGGCGCGGCCCGGAAGCGCCGGGTTGGGAAGCGGAGAGCAAGGCCGTCCCCCAACCCTTTGTGTGCAGCATCCCGCCATCCCTGGCCTGCGGAGGAACGGGGTCTCACTGCCTGGCCCCCGCCCGAGAAGCCGCCACGTCGCAGCGCGGGGCGCGCGCCCGCCCGGACCCTCCGCGCCGCACTCACAGTGGCGCCGCGGCTGTTCTTGGCAGG